TTTGTTTTTTTTGTCTTTGAATCTATTTTATATTTTTTACAATATAGATCTGGTTTCCCAGATTTCGATCTATTTTATATTGATAATCAGTTGGATTAGGAGTCTCTCTAATCTTCTGGATGCTTTGAATTTTGGTCTTGATCATGATATGGAACAAAGATTGGTTAGCTAATCTGTAGATTTACATTTATGGAGCTTATTTTGGAAATTATTTGGTATTAAGTGTTGTTTTTGGTATTAAGATTGGAGTAGAGCAGTCTCTATATAGGCTTAAGTGTTGTTTTTGGCTATTTTGTATTGTTTGATAGGGAAGAAGGTTATACTCATTTTTTGAAGAAAAAAAAAAGTAGGTGTTCGCAATATTGTTAAATGATGATGTTTTACCTGAATGTTTAAAATTTTATTAAGAACATGCATTGGTCATCTATATAAACTAAGAAAGGTGCAGTATTTATTTGGCTTTGTTGATTCATATATGAGTTTTGTGCTATACCTATTTTATAAAATCACTCACTAATTTTTTATTTTATCGATTATTTATAATATATAATGAGATTATTTACAAAAATATATAATGAGATGATACCTATTTTATAAAATCACTCACTAATTTTTTATTTTATCAGTATTTTATAATATATAATGAGATGATTTTTAACTATTTTAAGTTATAAAATGACTAGTTAGATTTATTTAATTTCATCCTTATGAAATTCTGTTTTCACAATGTTTGTATAAAAAATTATTTTTAATTAGTCATGTACCAAAACTAAGTCAAATCTTTTTATACACACAACTTCCCCACCCCCAAAAACAACATTTCTGGTTCCGCCACTGATCCCAATCCTAGGCAATAGTCCGCCCAACCAAACAAATATATCAAAAAAACACACAGATAATGATACAAATACACAATACACAATATGTAGAGTCTCCAATTTAGAGAATTATAAAAAATAAAAATTCTCAGATAGTGTAATCAAGGACTATGAAAGAGATTAACAATTAACAATTACGAATAAATAGATACACACACATATGCATACCTCGCAGATGACTTCTTCCTTGCGGGAGTTGAACTTGGTACCTTTGTAGATGTAATTGCTGCAGGTGCCGCAGCGAATGCTCATGGGAAGCATCATCCGCACCTTCATCTGCTGGTTCTTCGGCTGCCTCCGCCTCGGAATCTTGGCCGGATCGAAGTCCGACGGGTAGTACTTGTTCAACACCTTCCTTTCTCCCATCTCTCCTTACCAAAACTACAAACAAACAAAAAAAAAATTGATAGATCAATAAATTTGCTTCAAATTCAACTCTCACACACACAATGTTAAGTTATTGTTATTTGAAAAATGAGAGTTTATCTTTATTAATTCTTTATTTCTTCATTAAGAAAGATTGATAAAAAAATATCTAAAAAATAGAAGAGGTAACATTCTAATCTTACATTTGAACCCATGTTAACTTCTCACCCATTAGACCATATCATCATCATCCAAAACAACATTTTCATTAATTTAAATTTAAATATTTCATATTTATCAGATATATTGAACATCAAGTGTAGATATTTTTTTCTAAATAATTTAGAAAAAGTAGCCAAATCTATACAACTCACGATTCGATTCAATTACCGATTCGGTACAAGGTTATTTTAATTCACAATTCGAATCCCGATTTGACAAATATGCTTTTAGAGTACACAAAGTTACGAAGAAAGTAATGTGCCACGTGATAAAATGTGGTACATTCCAAGATAGGTTTTATCTATTACATAGTTGGAACTTGAAAACTTAATAATTTAATTTTGGAACTAGAATTAAATTAATCGTATTCCATACATTGAGTCCTCAATATATTGTTCCTTGGTCTCTTGCTCAAAATAAGTCTATTGTATAAGAATTCACCTTGCAACTCTTGATGTTTAGCCTCATAATTAGAAAAAACATGGACAAAACTTAGAAGCAATTTTCTAAAAGGGCTGCAACGTGGCAGCATCCATATTGGTTTGGCCTAACCCAACCCCGATCCCCCAATTACACACAAAGCATCCCAACCCATCCCTACCCCTGCCCCACCCCGCCTAAGCCAACCGGGTTTAACAAGGTTGGGGTGGGTTGAACCGACATAGATGCAATTAAAAACACAGCTCTTATTCTTTTTATTTTCCTTTGACATACACGCTGCTGGATTCCAATTATATTTTATTTCTAGTTGATAATACCAAAGATGCATGGATAGGTACACAATATAGACACACCAACCATGAAATTTTTGAACAAATCAATACAAAATGTGGCAAGGAGACGACAAGAAACAAATATATAGTTTTATTTACGGCTGCGGTATGCCGATATTTTATTATTATTATTATTTTTTTTTTTTTATAATTATGGTTAAAGGATCCAACCTACAAAATATCATGGTTAAAGCATAAAAAATAATATTTGTGATTATTAACGTTCTGTTGGGGAATAACTGTGTTCTAAACTTCTAATTAATTTTTTTGATTAACATTCTTCTGTTGAGGAATAACTTTGTTCTAATTAATTTTTTTGACTATTAGCATTCTGTAAGTATGATTGATTATTAATTTTTGTGTTGTAATTTTTTTTTGGTTCTACTATACATTCTGACCAGGTTCTACCTCTCTGAAGAAGAAAGAAGAAAGAAGAAAACAACAACAAAAATAAAGATGAAGACGAAAAAATATAAGACGAAGAGATGAAGAAACAAATTCTGACCAGTTGCTTGCTGATATGTAGGGGCACCCAAAAATTCTGACCAATTTCTCACCGGAGGGAAGACGAAGAGATGCAAGAAGGGACAAAACCAGTTGCTTGCTGATCTGCAAAACAAAAAATATATAAGACTGTTAGGTTTTATTTCTTGGCAAACCCGTTTGACAAAACTCCTTTGAATTGTAATTTTATTCGCATTTTTATTTCAGTGAGACTTTGAGTGTTTAGATGCGAATCCAACCCGAATCAAGCCTTTCAGAGAAGTTTGTGTTAATAAAGCTTTCAAGATTGCCACTTCGCTGATTATGACGGGGATCGAGCTGTAAAAATACTGGAAGGTGTGATTTTACGCTCGAGCGGATTCTCCTACGCTCGAGCGCATCTCAGTTTGTTCGCACGCAGTTTTTGGTCAGTCCGCTCGAGCGGGCTGTGTTGAGCTCGAGCGGAGATCGCGGGACAGATTCTATAAATTCGCGTGTTGGGTCAGATTTTAGGATTACTACTCCAGATCTTCTTTTTGGGTTCTAGGGTTTATATCTGGGGATACTTTGGGAGTTTTCTTTGATGTTTTTATTGAGTATTCAACTCATGATCTAAAGAGAGTACATCAAAGGTTTGTTTGTTATACACAGAAGATAGAGTTATTCTTCAGTTGTGGATTCTGAAGAATTCGAGCCTGAAGCTTTGGTGGAATCCGGAGTGGCTCATCAGAAAGACAATTCCGTGGTGAAGATGGGGTTGGAAGAGGCACATAAAGGTTGGTTCAATTAGGCGTTGTGGATTCGCTAGGTAATTGAGAGTATACCTGTGTAATTCCTTTAATTCTTCTTAGTGGATTGTCTTGTGGCTGTTGCCCGTGGTTTTTTTATCACAGTTGGAGGTGTCCAATTGTGGTTTTTTCCACGTTAAAATTGTTGTGTCTCTTTGTCTTGTTTGTTTGATTGGGATTGTTATATTCTGCTTTAATTTGATACATAATCACAAATCAACATCTAGGGGATTTCTTGTTTGATTGGGATTGTTATATTCTGCTTTAATTTGATACATAATCACAAATCAACATCTAGGGGATTTCTAGTTTTTTCAAAGACAAAGAAGAAGAAACGAAGAAGACGAGGGTGGAAGATGTAGACGAAGAAGAAGACGAGGGTGGAAGATGTAGACGAAGAGCACTCACCGGAACTCTCCTTGCGTCGCCGTCGCCGGAGGCCTTCGAAGGGAATGGATGGGTCGCCTCTTTGCTGCTGTGTTGCTGAAGTGAAGAGATTAGGGCAAAACCTAGGTCATTCGTGTATATACCCTTTTTTTTGTTTTTATGAAATTTTACTTAATATTGCTCCAGTACCGCTCAATTCTCCTAGAAATTTGATTTTTGTCCCGGCGTACCCGAAATGTACCAAAGCCATACCCATGCCATACCCGATTGAACCAAACGTACCGGACTCCTTTTTGCCGTACCTGATACGCGTACCCGCACCCGATAAGTACCCGGTACGTGTACAGCATTATATTTGGAGTACCCGTGCTTCATAGTGACTAACCAATTATCCATCCTTCTTACATTTACACATAAAACATTAGATTTGTTTCATCTTCCTCAAATTATTAATAGTGAGAATCTTACCATGAGTTGTCGTTCAAGTAAAAAAATATATATTAGTAGGTATTTCACACCTCAAACACCTCTCCACAAGAAAGTCCCACCACTACTACCCAACAACCTTATAAAAAAGACTTGACTACAAAGCTTGCAAATTTTTCTTAGTCAGTTATAAATGAATGAAGAAGTTCAAATATAAGAGAGAGATAGAGACAGCCATTAGATCTTGCTCAACTCTCCAATCTCATTGTTTATGGCTTTGGAGGGTTAAAACAGTTTAGACTTCTTTCCCCAAGTAACTAATACCTAGATTTTGCAATATACAAGGGTCGACCATTCCCAGACTAGTGTTGACCCTTGTGGACAGCAACAAGAGGCAAGTGTCGACACCACCAAGGCTGGTGTCGACCCTAGAATAGAATTTCTAAGTTCCCAAGGAACTTTTTGACAAAAACAAGCGCAAACAAACAAACCCCCAACGAGTTTAAATCGGATCATACTTCTCCAAAACCAACATTCGACAACTCCGAAGACACCCAAAATTGAAAATAAGGGAATTAAATACACTCTCCAATGGATTAAAGGATGCGGGTGTTACAAGTCGTCTTCATCTCTTTCAACGATCATAGCTCAAAATTCTTTACGGGTCGTGTTGCTCTCTGTGAAATGAGACGTTCGAATCTAAATTATGTCTATGAACCCCCTCTCCACCCATAAAATCGCATTTACTAGGTCCCACAAATCAAGTAAGTTGCAGTTTATGCGTTGTGGCAGATTCACTCTCCGAGCAACGAAACAATGACAAGACCGAGGTCAACTACATCACAAATTTCTCTCAAATTTTAAATTACAACTCATTGATTTCCTCAAAGATCCTCAAATTCATTCCCAATTTATGTATGTTAGACCAAATTTGTGAAGCGTATTCTCGAATTAGACGCATACCGAAGAATCGCACATCCACCCACTGTACCCACTCCGTCATCGGTGACAACTATTCCACTTCTAATGCTTTGGTACGTATATCCTTGAATCGAACGCTTATTTTCAATTTTTTTTTGTAATATTTTATCACACGTACAGAACGCTTATTTTTAATATTTCCAATTGCTATAGGTAACAAAAAATGTTAAGAATTTAGGACAAAAGGATTTGTGTATTTTCAAGAAATGACCGAGATTGATGAAAACTGTTGTGCCACAAGGCCTTAGCCCGTGCATCCACACAAGGAGCCCCTAACTCTAACTCTAATGAAGAGGATAAAATGCTTAATAAATTTTGGTCTCCTGGAGCTAGAGCTGGAGGGAGTAATGTGGCTGAACCTATTACTGTTGACTTATTCGGCGATGAGTATATAGAACAATCGAAGGGCAAAAGTCACAAGAGGGGCCCTACAAATAGCCAGACTGATAGTGGTCTTTCTAAAAGGTCACGGTCAAGTGACTTTGATGATGTATGCGCAGCTTTCACTACCTATGTACAGGCAAAAACGGAATATTCCCGTGCCCGATTAACAGACACAGAGGCTGTAAGTGCAGGTGGTGATGACTATTCTCTTGATCCATGTCAAGATGCCCTGTTAGAGCCTGGGGACATACCACCGGTCCAGTACATTAGGGCACTGACACTATTCAAAGACATGGAATGGTGGAGGTTTTTTATGCGTACTCCTGCCCATATATGCCTAGTTATGATCCTAGCTTTGCAGTAAAGAGAGAAGTTATGGCTTGATCGAGCTTGCAGTTCTCTTTGTGGTTGTCCAACATGATTTGATAATGTCTATGTTGTTCTTATTAATTTTTTTTTCACCTGATGACATGCTCTTTTTTATCCGTCTTTTTCTGTTTATTTCTATATTTTTTTAAATTGTTTCTGTTTTACATTTAGATGTGATTTTATTCTTCTGCATTATTTCATGTCTGTTTTCTTATTTCTGCTTCAACTTTCAATTTTACACAGCATACAATATAAAAAGGTAGTAATGACAATATGACTAAATATTAATATGTTTTTTCGTCGCATGTATGTTTCCATATAGTTCGATAAATAACTAAGGCCGACGAATTGTAGGCAATGGTTTTTAGTTTCACCAATAATGGTAATAGTTAGCATGTTGTTAATAATTTTTTTTTAATTATGCGTTATTGTCATGCAGCCGAAACAATAAGTCATCCAACACAGAAAACAATGCAATGGAGAGGTCATCAAAGGAGGATAAGGTTATTGAAGATTTTATGGACTTTTTGATGATTGCTTTTATGAATAAGCATATGAATGCGTCAACCAGTAAACAACCGCAGCGAACTTGTCCATTCAAAGGTGATGATTATATCTTTAGTTTATCAAATGGCCATCCAGAAATAATGATGGACATCATGCGAATGGATGCCCAAACATTCATTTTATTAAAAGACACCTTACTTCAAAATAGCTTTGTCGAAACTGAACATATGCATATCAATGTCGAGAAATCGCTTGGCATTTTTTTGTACACTTTTGCACAAAGATGACCGGCATAGACTACTAGCCGATAGATTTCAACACTCCACTAAAACTATTTGTCGGCACATCAAAATCATTATGCGGGCATTGTGCAAGCCTGCATCAACGGTTATCAAACCACGTAACCAAGATGAAATACCGGCAAAAATTTTAAATGATAGGAGGTTTTTTCCATGGTTCAAGGTATGACTACATATTTGTCTTGTAAGTTTTCAATAACAATAACGAATTAATTTTTCTTTTTTATTTTATTTTATGTTTTACTAGTAATATCTAGGTTGTTTCGCATTTAATGTCAAACTAATATATTTCAAGCAGGATTGTGTCGGTGCTATCGATGGCGTATTGGTGGATGCGAGGGTCCCAGCCTCAAGACATAATACATTCCATGGTCACAAAGCTACGGTATCGCAAAATGCACTTGCAGCTTGCGACTTTAACATGTTGTTCACATTTATCAATTCTGGATGGGAAGGTAGCGCTCACGACACCGCAATTTTAGTTGACTCAATTACAAAAACTGATCTACATTTCTCACACTGACCCCATGGTGAGTGTCACCGAATAACACACTGTTCTATCTTAAATGTTGATTTTTGTGTACATATATTTGACAGAGCATTGCCTACATTATTTACATGTAGGCAAGTATTATTTAGTGGATGCCGGTAGTGCTGGGCATAGGATTATCCGACCCGCACAACCCGCCCTACCCGACCCTACCCGCACGCGTATGGGCGGTTTCGCAAATACAATAGGGTACGGTACGGTTTGAAATATTTCTAATTTTCGGGTTGCGGGCAGGTTGCAGGTTTGAACCGCACCCGACCAACCCGCCCGCATAACCTTTTTTTTTTTTTTTTTTT